TTTCTCATGTGGTGTTAAATCTTCACACCAAAAATTAATTAATCCCCATGCCCATTGTATGTCTAAATATAATAAAATATGTCAATTCGGGATATTGGGGGTGAAAAATTATCTATTTAGGACCAAGTTTTGATATAGCATATAAATACAGGTCCCGCCCCATTTTCGGTTCTATAAAGACATTGACCGAATTTTCACATAGAGTTGGCTATAATTAGATAACGGATTCCTGTGAATAAAAAACAGCATCCCAGAAATACGCCATAATTATTGCCCGTTCAATTTTCGGTATGTTGAAGTTCTGACTCCCGTTTTCCAACCTGAGTGTTATCGGTAATTGGCATGTTCAATACGAATAGGTAACATCGGACGGAGGTTTTGGTAAAACCTTCAAATTAGATAATATGTCTTGGATATTTTTTCTAATATTGCAGATTTTTTGTTAGCTGTCCTCTTTCCAGCTGAGCTCAATGATAGATTTTTGCACATTTTTGGTATCGGATATATCCCAGGGGTTCTGTTTATAAGTTCAAAGATATTGAAAAACTATTAGGCTTATAACCACTTGATTTGATATTTTACGTGGCATATCAACATTTCAGGTACTTTAAGGAACAGCATGTTCCTATTAGCATGGATCTTATATCCTGAATGGACACGAACTCGATTCAGAATGTCTTCTGATTTTCCATCCTTGCATTAGTCCTAAAATGTACGTGCATTCTATGGAAAACGTGTACATACAATGATCGCGTGTACTTGTCAATTATTTGTTGTATTCTCCCAAAAAATGTTTCAATACAATACAAAAAAATAAATATTTTGAAAAATTTCAATAATTGACAAATGTAGGCTTAAATGAATGATACGCTACCAATTTTCGCCAAAAATACCTCAAAATAACAACTACGACGTGGTGCTATCAAAATAGCTCGATACTAAATTCGTGGAAATGCAGATGGGCTGCATAATATCTTTTGCAAAATTTTCGCGGTTTTCGATTTTTTCTCAACTTTTAAACCTTCCCTGAACCTCCACGAACATTTCAAGACTAAGATCAGATGAATCCGTTCAGCCGTTCCCGAGTTTTAGCGGGACTAACGAACAGCAATTCATTTATATATATATATGTATATATATAGATTGGGTGTAATACATTTCAAATAAGGAAATATAAAAAATTACGCAAAAACACAAAGCATTCTGAAATATTTCGAAAAAATTCCATATACTATTGATCGTCGTTTTTTCGGCTTGTCATGCATGTTCATTTTACGACAATTGTAGGCGACATTTGTTTTTACACGAAATAAGAAAATTCTTTTAATAACATTTAACAATGCCGTGGGCGTCAAAGCAAAACAAAAAGAAGAAAAATAGGCAACACAAAAACATATTATATTGGAACAAATACATACATATGATTGTAATACAAACTCATAATTTGTATTTGTGTAAAGAAAATTGCAACAAAGAAATTTCTTTAATATTTCCCATTGTGTGTGGTGCGTGTGCTTCTCGAATGACTATTCTTCTTTGACGTTTTCCATTTGCAATTCCCAGCCATGGTTTTGACAAGTTTAAATGTGAAGGAATTTGTGCAATCGGTGTATTTATTGGGAGAGCAAACTCTCATTTGTAATTAGAACATCGGGAGAGTATTTACATGCACAGTGAATTTGTTATAAGATTTCAGTTCCAAAGTTTTGGAGAAATTAACTGCAAGCATAGTAAAGTATTTCATGTTAGACAAGTTAGGCTGGGTCGAGAATGTCATGCCCCCCTACAACTAAAAGTGGACTTTAATTTGCTGCGAACCTAACCAATTTTTTTGGATGACTCCGAAAATGAATTATTATAAGCCTTAAACGAACTATTACTTCGTAAACAAAATTAAAATTTATTTAATTAGGCCGCCAAAAACCTAATTTCGGGCAAGTAAGACTGGTTTTCTAAATTAGTGAACTGGATTATTTGAATAGAACAGATAACAGTCCAGTTCAGTAAAACTAATGTTTATCTGGTTAAAACATTTAGAAACTCCGTTCTTACTTCATCGATTTTTTATTTTAACGTATTTGGCATAGTTGTAAACGTTTTTAGTAAATAATATGGACGAATCCCGCATAATGAAGAAGTAATACTGAATGTAGTTAAATGCATACATACATCGTTTTAGTAACATGACACGGGTAAAAATGAAAAAAATGTAAGTTAAGATATCGCTTTTCGTCATCAGAATATTGCGAGGATGAAAAATAGCATCTTGTGATATTTGGAGTTCGATTTAATAAATTATGGACAAAAAGGGCACCCACGCGATCGAGCTAGAAAGATATGTTCTACAAAAAATTCGTATTTTTTTGTACATTTTACTGAAGAAATGTAATCTCAATAAATACATTCAATGCGGTCTTTGTGAAAATTTTCATATAACTCTCTAAGAACCTATATTTATATTACTTTCCAACCTTGTCCAATTAAATAAATAGGTAGGAAATCTCCTGTCAATATATTTAATTTTTTTATCGAAACTCTATGGTCTCTGATGATTAAAACAAATATTTTCAAAGCTTACCTTCTTTATACACTCCACCAATTTGCCATTTGGAGACAGACCCCACAAAAAATATCATCTTGCATTGCAAAATTTCTTTAATGATAAAAAAAAATTGTATCTAGGGAGGGTTGTGAAAATCGACTACTAGAGTTTTTCTTTTTTGCAAATAGAGAACAGGACTTCAATGAGAGAGGCATTATGAATTTACTTTTAAAATGGCAACAAATCATTAAATAAAGTCCTATAGTTCATAAGAAAATAAAGTAATAAAAAATCTGAACCGATTTCAACAAAACTTCCCAGACATAAAACTGCAGTTAATTCAGTACACAGTGCAAAATTTTGTCCCAATCGAACAAATAATTGGAGTTTGGTTCACAATTTAGACAATATCGGACAAAAATGTATATGGGGGCTATATCTAAATCTAAACCAATGTTCTTGTGTCAAATTTCATCCAAATCGTAACTGCGATCTGTACTTTGTTCACAAGAATACATTGTCAGATGGACGGGTAGACGGACATCCATGTGTCTCCTTTCGTCTCCTTTTGCCTGGTACAAATATATGTACAAAGATATAATACCCTGTACCAGGTATAAAAAAATCGATTATTTTTGTAACCTCCAAATAATTAAATAAACCAGTGAGCAGAGCAGTATAGTCGGACGGGGCCGACCATACGATACCCTACACAAATACCACGGAACTCTAACTTTCTGCCGGTGTTTATTACGAGCCTGGGCAATATTTCGTGATATTTGCACCCTCTTGCCCCATTAGAGGTCAACAGCACCTTTTCCTTATACTGACATATTTTCCGAATATTACTAATATTCAGTCCTTCTAATTACTTGTCCATATTCCCTTCACCGTGTGTTGTGTGGTGATGTTCGGCTTTCAATTGTGGCCTATAGATCGACTCGAAAAACACAAAAATTAAGTTTTCGGACCATTTCATCCCAAAATAATTATGTAATCATCGCCGAAAATTATAGGCGTTGTCCTTGACCATAACTAGAATCTCATGGAAAATTTCAAAGCAATCAGCGCTATAATTCCGCCCTCTAGTGTAGTAATGGGATACTAAATAACATCTCAGTACGTAAGCACCCGTAAATATTTATGTGTAACTCCCACATCCGAATACATACGACCATATAATTGGTATCAATTGAAAGGTCAACCACTCCTCTTGAACATACTGTCAACTCGGGTCTCGGGTCTAGGACCTTCAGGGCCAAATATATACGCCATAGAATACAAATTTTGTAATTTTTCACACAAAAGTCAGGGTCCATTTGACCCGCTAAATATAGACCGATCTTTACCAAAACAGCCATGCTTATTCTTTGGCCCGACCCCCATCTCCATGCGATGTTCGGGAGACAATTACGGCATCTGGAGCGACCAGAAACACCGACAAAAATAAAGTTTTTGTTCCATTTCATCCCCTAAATATTAACCGATCTTTTCCAAAAACAATAGGGGTCTTAATTGGCCAGAACCCATCCTACATGCAAAATTTCGTGAAGATTGGTCCATAACTGTGGCCTGTATCGTGTTTACAAATTATAATGGACAGACGGACGGACGGACACACATGTCTAGATCGACTCAGCTAGTCGAGATATGACGATCGGTATACTTAAAGTTGGGTCTAGGACCAATATTTCACGGCGTTACAAACTCTTGTGGCTGCACAAAGCTATAATACCCTGACAACATAGTTGTGTAGGGTATAATTAATGTAATTTTTTTGCATTTGTTAATGATTCAAATTATCCATCCCTGGTATTCCCACTCACAATTGTTGCGATCGTGTCTCTCTGACGCGCTCTCGTTCTCTCTCACACATTCGCCTGCTATATTTTCTCAGAGTCAAGTGAATATTTATTTTTTCGCTTGCCTTCGGAATCTGCGGCGCAGTGGAAAATCCACAAAAACATCTCTGGCTTGCTCGACGTGCACGACCATTCCCGACATCTGTGTTACGTGCAGAAGACGATGCTGTTTGTTTTTGGTGTAATTTGAAAATTGTTCCGTTTTGCCTTTCGATCTTCTTTCACATCTTGACGGTTTTTGTTCACACGCGCCACCAGTCTTCCGATAAAAGATTTTTTTCAGCAAATATTATTTCTCGATTCTAGTCAGTCGGTTTCTTCATATTGAACAAAAATCATACGAATCCGTGGCATAACAATAATTTACGACTTATTCCCTCTCCCTATTAAAAAAATTGAAAAGTATATTTGATTGTATAAAAAAAATTCAATTATGTGATTTCTAAAATTAAATTTAAGCAACTTTAAGTTAAGTTACAAAACAAACGAAAAAAGGGAAACATAAAAAAATAAAAATTTCCGTTTTCATCAAAAGTGCTCAGATTCAGATTTTTTCTAAAGCGAAATAAGTTGTGTTTTGTTGAAAGTGTGTCCAGAAAAACAGAATCCAGTTAAAAAAACCAGAAAAGATATAATATTCCCCCAAAAAAACGAAGAAGAAGAAACAGAAAAACTATTTAAGTAAACTAAACTTTGCCAACCAGTTGCATTTGATGTCTGCCATTTGTTGTTGCTTTTTCGCTACTATTTTCCAGTTGCGACAAAGTTTTTAATAAAAAAAAATTGTTGTTGGTAAGTTTTATTTTTTTCGGTAACATTTACAATGTAAGCAAACACGAAGTGGAAGAAGAGTAAATATGAAGACGAAGAAGCAGAAGTGAAGGAAAAAGTTTCGTGTTTCCTATGAAATATTTTCGTGACGAGGCGCTTACAAAAATAAAAACAAACACTGACAAAAAAAATGAATAAAAAGAAGAAGACCAAGAAAAAATAGAATTTTTCGTTCAGATTATGACCTAAATATCTATCATGTATTTGATAGTTTTTGTGCTGTTGATGTTGTTGTTGGCGGTGTTCATGTTTGCTCTGCTCTGCTCGCCGGGAGGAAATAGAAGGAAAAACTATTTTAAAATTTTCCAACTCATGAGATGTGTAGTAGTGAGTGTGCCATCAACGTGTGTTGTGAAGATGTTCCTACAAATGACGACAACGATGTTGATGACGACAATCGTGATGTAGTTGTTGTTATTGTTGATGATGATGATGATTATGTTGTTGCTGTTGTCATTGTTCACAATCCCAAGTATTTCATAAATCTATTCACGTTGCTATTCTCAACAACTTTATTAAATCATCTATCCCCCTTACCCAAAAACAAATAATGAAATAAAATAAAATTCGAAACATAAGGTGCCGCAGAGTGATTCTGTAGTATGTGGACTGCCTGCATTCTGTTAGCAAAACACGAATGCAATATCCAAAATGGACGAATATAATAATCATGGATGAAGTGTGAAATGATGTATGTGACTTTGTTGTTGTTTTTATTTCTACCGCATGACAAATATTTATATTCACTACGTTGTTGCTGCTGCGGCTGCGGCTGATGAGCCTATATCTATTTTTGTGAAATGTAAAATTTGTTCGCCTGTATATAAAAAAATATGATTTAATTTATTTTCGTAGAAAACAAGTAATGCCCTATAAGATTTATAGTATGATGATGATAAATTTAAGCGAAACAAAAATGTTTTTTTATTTGAACAATTCAAGCAAGAAATTAAATTCTCTGCTCCAGTTATAATTGAAATAAAATCAAATTGTATAACGAATTTGCAAATGAATTTAGGAAGTAAGCTACTTTAAAAAAATTCTGTGATTTTTTTCCCAGCTCGCAATTTTCGATAATCATGAAATTTAATTCAATTTTCGATTATACATCTTTATGAATTTCTCATTGAGAAAAAACCAATTGTTTAGTAAAATATCCAAACAAAATATGAAATTTTTGTTGCAGTTGTGCAAAAAGAATTTGTAGTTTAAAAATTTTAAATTGAAATTGATACATACGATATTTTTAATATTTGAGCCACTCAGTGCGCACATCGATTATCTCCATAAAACCAAATGTTTTGAAACACAATGTTGTAATGTATACATTTCTACGGTAACATAAATTCAAATAACATTTGGAATATCAAATGTGATTTTTTTTTTTAAATTGGTTCAGATTTAATCCGATTTTATGTTAACGGTGCACCATAGATCCTGTTCCATCTTCTGCCCCATAGATCCGATATTAAGTTTAGCATATTGAGCCCATGTTTGTTCGATTTACAAAAATTATTGCAGAGCGTATTTTATTGAAATCGGTTCAGGTTTCGATATAGCTTCCATATACATATATAGATAAAACCCTTACATGTTTTTGTTTGAGCTCATGAAATTAGTGCACCAAATAATAAAGTTTACTCCTTACTTACTTATCAGGTTTAAGACAGAACATTTGTTCCATAAGCCGAGCTTAACAATGATTTTCTTGTGCGCAGCTCTTCCAATTTTAAAGACCATGTTCTGAGGTATTGTCTTCCATTTGATAATTCCATTGGATTTTGTGGCCTTCCAATTCTGCGTGAACCATTAGTTGGCTCGCTTTTAGGTTCTTTTTGAGCTGGGGCTTCATCATCCATTCACACAACATCACTTAGCATAGTCGCTGCAGCTTGATACATCTGACTATGTCGATGTCCGAGAAGAGATGATACAACTCATGGTTAATTCGACGCTGAAATTCACCCTCGATGCAGATCGGTCAGTAGATCTTTCGGAGAATTTTTTTTCAAACACTCCCATTTTTCAGATTCAAACACCAGGACGGGTAGTATCAGCGTCTTATAGAGTGTTAGTTTGGTCTGGCGAGAAGTGGCCTTTTTTTAGAATTGCTTACTTAGACCATAGTAGCATCAGTTGGACAACACTATTCTCCTCCGAATTTCAAAACTGATGTTATTAGTATATAAAATCTTTGACTACTTCGAAACCGCAGTTCTAAAATTCCACATTTGGTCCGAGTCCACTGGACATTTTACGCGTTGATACCATCAGCTTGGTCTTGTCGCCACTTACTACCACTCCCACTTCGGCAGACGCCTTCTCAATTTTTTTAAAAGTTTTATTATTCTTCAGCTATTTTGATGTCTCTTGGCTAGGCGGTATACAACAATTCTCCTTCCAAATCCTCAGCACGCTGTCTGTATCTGTCAGCAGGTTTCCTTCTTCTTCCCTACAGGAGGATGTCCGCGCCAGACCAAACCCGCACCAAAACCGTCGGTTTGGTGTTTTACTCGTTAGTAAAAATTCCAGACTTCATTCTGACTCCTGTATACCTCGATGTGCTTATGCTCAAGTTTTGCTTGTTTTTTTTATATATAGGGAGTAGGCAATTCTTTGCCATTGCGCTTATATATATTATTATAGGGGCAAGGAGTTTTTTTCGATTAGTATGTGGGCATGTTGATCGGAGTACGCTTCTGCTACCTGTCGTGTTTGCAGCTTTTCGACGACGAATTTCCGTGTTATTTTGGTTCGCATGTTTGATGTTACATTAAGTCGAGTGCGGACCTTGGCTGCTACAAGATAATGGTCCGAATCGATATTTGCCCTTCGGATCGTTCGAACGCCTTAAACACTGCATGAATACCTTCCGTCTATCACAACATGATCAATTTGATTTCTCTTAGCTTGATCGGGAGAAATCCAGGTGGTATTGTGTATATCGAGATGCTTGAATCTGGTACTGCTAACTACCATGTTTTTTGCTGCCGCGAAGTCAATCAGCCTCATGTCGTGGTAAGATTTCTCAGCTTTCTCCTAACGATATAATGTTGAGGACAGCGCACTATGCTGCAGCATACCAAATGGTGTATGACACGGTTGCTCAATTATATCCAGATATACATATAACTCCCATACATAATATTGCTCTATTTCATAGAAACGGTACACCAATGAATCCAAATCTGCCCGATTGACAAGCAATTTTCCATAGAATTTAATTTCGCCCTCCAGTGATGGAGGGTATCATAAATACGGCCCCGTCTGAATTTTGATCTTTCCTCACGGGTTTTTAGACTATTTTTTTAAATAAAGATTTAATCATTTAGGAGTAAATGTCTTGTAATTTTTGGAAAAAAAAATATGACGCACAAGCATCGATATGAGAGACTTATCATGGTGCAAAATCCATTGATGCTAAATGACATACATTTCATACGTTAGAAACCCACCCAAAACCAAAATAGCTATTTTTCTTTTCATGTCGCAAGTTTCATGACTTAAACATGTACGGACTTAAACTACATGGAATTTCTGTTCATTCAATGAAGTTTATATGGATGTAAAAATAAATCGCGGACGTAAATATCATCCACGAACAATTTTCATCGGATGTTGACGTGCTATTGTGACTAGAACTAGCATCGTAATTGGCATATTATCGTCCTTGGGCAATTCATTTGTACACAAGACATAATATAATGCAGCACAGCGTGTTGTCCAAAATTAGATCTCAATCATACAAATGGTGGTTATTTGGTACATGAAATCTCGAATAAAAATATATTAAAAATATACAGACCGCAGCTCATCTGTATAAAAAAAGACAGGCCGACCGATCTTTCTTTTGAGTGTTTGTAGGACACTCTGTACAAAAAATTTTAGAGACAGGGTGCTCCCGACCGTTCTTGGTTGAGTGGTTGTAAGTCACTAATTTTATTTTAAAATATTTATCCTTAGGTTCTACTTAAACAACTCTTGCTTAGCCTAATCTCAATGATAATACATATCAATAAACTATTTGTTCTAATAATAGAATTTGATCTGTGGAGAGTTTTCCCATAGTGTGCGTCATAAAATCTCAACACCAACAACAACAGCCTTATCAACGTTGCGTGTGGGATTTTAGACTCTTATCTTAAAACACTCCAACGATCTGCTCCAAATCTGCTGCAATACAAAATTCTGTTCAAAGTATTTGAACATGCTGACGACTGGCAAGAAGAGTTGACAAATAAAATTTCTGTTCAAAGCATTTTGACAAATTAAATTTTAATATCAAATGATTTCAAAATGCACACACACACTCAGATGTAATTAACACATTAACATTGAAACGATGATAGTTTTCGTCTATATAAATATTTTTGGCAACCTTATACTTGGATTATATCAAACTATTTGGCATTGAATATAATAATTTTATGCAATCTAGCTATATCAAAGTATACATATGCACGTATATTTTATAAATACTACGAAATCTATGTAAATGAAATTTGAATACATAGGCACAAGGCAGGCGGGTATTCATTCATCATTCCTCAGTTTGAAACACTTGCCACATGCTGAGAACATTGGGTCGTATACTTAATGGGTGAATAAAAAAAATTGCAAACATCATACGTTAGTGTTAGTGAAGCAGCATATCAACAACAACAACACTAATCGAAAATCTGTGTGTAGGCACAATTCTATTTTCGTTTCATTAAATAAAATTCAAATATTCATGGTCACAAATAAAAGAACATTGAACTGCGTACAATTGTTGTATTTTTCCCCCATTTCATCGAGAACCAGACATTTGTTTTCTTCAATCTTTCTTTCTTTGTTTGTTGACCACATTTATTTTGTTTGTTTAATTTGCCGAAAATAAAGTCAGACACGAAATTCGCCAAAACACCAGAAAGCAAAAACACCAAAACACAAACAAACTTCCGGCATAAATATCTATTATA